CTCTCTCAACTCGGACAAGCCAGGCGAGGAGTAGGGCTTGGGGTTTAGGGCCCTAAACGCTGAACAGTTACAGACATGGGCATTCAGTCGGGGAACCCGGACAAGGGAAGCAGGGTGCGGAGGCCAGGAATCCGAAACCCTGAACCCCAAAGCCATGCAAAAAGCTTCAACAAAAACCTTGGAGAAATCTTGTGCAGAGCCACTACACCTTCCTAAAGCCTTAACCCTGAACCCTAAATCCCAAACCCCTAACCCCAAGCCCATTTAGAGCCTGTCGTTCAGAAGGAACTGGCTGAACTTCATGTCCGCGGGGGGGGCCCCGATTTGGTACTTGGCAAGCTGCTTGGCCTCTTTTCGTTTAGGGTTTAAAGTTTAGGAGTTTAGGGTTTAGGAGTTTAGGGTTTAGGAGTTGAGGGTTCGGGGTTCAGGGCTGAGGGTTTAGGGTTGAGGGTTTAGGATTGAGGGGTTGAGGGTTGAGGGCTTAGGGTTGAGGGTTGGTTGAGCGTTGAGGGTTTAGGGTTGAGGGTTTACGGTTGAGGGTTTAGGGTTTGCAAGGCTTGCGTGGAACTTGACATGGCTTTCCTTTTACACCTGGGCTATGCATGTTTGATATGTTTTCCTAAGCCCTAAGCCCAAATTTATGGCTTTGGTGTGAAAAGCTGTGGGGGCAGGATCGTTTTGGACTTCTTGTAACAGAGCCTAGCTTAGGATTTAGGGTCTAGGGTTTAGGGCTTGGAGCATATGGTCTGGGGTTTGGGGGCTGCGGGTTTGGAGTTTAGGGTGTAGGCTAAACTACCCTTCGATGAATCCGTATACCCTAGATCGTATGTGAAGGCACCCCAGAAACAGTAGTGCATGGAACAGTCCTGTTATAAAGCTATGTGGGGTCGCTGGGGAAGCATATTAAGATCGACTGCGAAGGGCTTAGGCTTTAGGGCACCATTCCGAGCCCTGCACACTGTATCCCAAAAGGGACGTAAGTTGCATAGACCCTAAACCCCAAACCCTAAACGCTACAGGGGTAGTTCTTTAAACTAAGGTCCTGAGTTAAAGAACTACCCATATTAGGTTTAGGGTTAGGGTTTAAGGCCATGTTTTTTGAACCCAGGCTCTTTGCTATCAGCTGGGCAGCAGGCATGGTAACTGCTCGCCGGTCTGGAGACTTGGGTTTACGGCCCTAAACCCTAAACCCTACCTACCCATTTAGAGATGTACCCCGTAGATTCGGGGATATACGGAGCATTCGGCTCTTTGGGCTTGTGCTTCCCTGGAACTCGCTGGCAGGGCCTTGACTCGAATATTCAGGTCAGGCACTGGGTGGGTCCCTGTTTAGGAACCCTAAAAGACCTCGGCACCCATAAAGAAGGTCTCCTAGTTTAGAGAACTACCGCCCTAAGCCTGAAACTCAGTCCCTGACCCTGAACCTTTCAGCTCAAACCCCCCGACTTCTTGGCGTGGGGCGTTGAACGCTGCTTTGCTGGTGGGCAAACCACCTTGCTCCGTCACCTTCCTGAGTTTGTACTTCTCCTGCCATGTGTCCTGCTAGGGCAAATGCAGTGCAAACCAGAACGGACATGTTACTCAAAGCAGCACTGGTAGCACCGGCGGTTGCAATTTGGCTTCAACTTGCAGTCATTCATTTTCCCGCGGCAGACAACCTTCGGGGGGTTGATGCACAGGTAACCCTAAATCCCGAAACAATCCCTATAAACCCTTTCTAAACTTCCTAACCCGCAAACCCTAAACCCTAAATCCAAAACCCCTAAACCCTAAACCCCTAAACCCTAAACCCTCTCGCATTGTGATTCGGGAATCGACAACGTCGGCTTTCAGATCCTGAGCCCTAAACCCCTTGAACTCGGAAGTTTCGAGGCTTCGGTTTCGTGTTTAGGGCTTTTTTTGCACGACCCTTTTCCCTCCGCTAGAAAACGCAAGGGTTCAGGGATGTTTGGAGGGAGAATATCTAGAGAATATCTATTCCTAACGCTTCTTGTCCTTGATCATCTCCTCATCTGGCGCCAGCTCGATTCCGTTCTGCCTTCCGGATGTTGCGGGCTGCGAATTTGCTTGCCCGTGGGTACGTGTCGGAGGGTGTCGGCCTTTAGGCCTGAGGCCGTGGGTGTTGGCATTTCTAGCCACCCTCGCAAATCCCAAAACACATCTAACGTCCACTGAAGTTCCTTTTTTGGTTACCTTGTCAACCAGAAAAGGAACCACGTCACCACGTCAAAGACTGCAAACAGCCCCAACACCACTCAAAACGCCTCATAACCCCGTGCGCAAAGCGCGCAAAAAGACCTCCGCAACTCCTCGTGTCCCCCAGAAAGCAAGGGATGAGGACGCGGCTCGTAAAACCAGCGTGTGAAGCGATCGCACGCACTGATCTGGATGACCCGCCCATTTATGCTGACCTTCAGGGCTTCCGGTTTTTGGGTTTATTCAGGGTTTAGGGCTTTGGGAGTGTAAGAGTTTAGGAGTTTAGGGGTTTTAGGGCTTTTGGGGTTTAGGGTTTCTTTCCCTCTCGCACTGCAGAGAACTATGCTCGCGGCGAGGTTGATTCGGGTGGAAAATGTTGGCGAGGAAATCCTCTGAAGTTTCTGCAATACATGTGTCAGTGCCTCCTCAGCGGAATGACCCCGAAACCCACAAACAAGCACAATACAACATAAACAGACTCGAAAGGAGTACCAATAAAGATAGATAGAAGATTCCACCGAAGAGAGAGTCAGTTCCATCCCCTATTCCAGAGTGGTGTGACACTCTGGAATAGGGGATGGAGCTGGTTTTGAAGGATCCAAAGTGTGCTCTCTTCAGTGGTTTAGGGTTTTTGGGTGAAGGTTTTAGGGTTTAGGGCTGCGGGCTTGCAGTATGAGGTTTAGGGTGTGAACTTACGCCGCCTAGCACTAGGACAAGACGTCCTAGGACAGAAGTAGCAAAAAAGTACGAGGCACGGAGACTGATAAACCCATTAGCCGTGGTAGGACTGGTACACGCCGCCGGGCTGAATGTACTAGTGGCAACGGCAGGAGTCGTCGCCTTCTTCGCCTTAGCTGTCGTTGTCGCTGTAGTCGTCGTAATCGAACAGAAGCTGGGGTCATATCTTCTTCTTCAGCATCATCATGTTCTTACTCTTCATTCTTCTTCATCCCCAACAGTTCTATCGCGGCCCATACCCCCCGAAACTCCATCTTCATCATGACCATGTTGACGGCCATCGTCGCAACAACGGTCAGCACAAGCGCCATACACTTATGATCCGTGTCGGCACATGTGTGTTAGCGATGCTACCTGGGCTTTTTAGGGTTTAGGGTTTAAAGTCATCATTAGTGCAGCCGCTGTCGTCACCATCCGCAAAGTTCAAGATCCATCTCATACTCTTGCCCGACAGTATCAGCGTCACAGTCATCCTGACCGTCGAACAAGCAATGAAAGATCCTTCAAGGCCCTTCAAGGTACCAGGTACCAGTGGCCCGGGGTATTGCTGGGGCTTGCTGTCTGTCCATCCTTGCCGCACGATGTATAAACCAAATTCGTATAGAAGCCATCCCTTGGCCTGCCACCCTAAACATCAAACCCTAAGCCCTAAACGCCCTACAC